TGGCTTTATATATCCAATGATTTTTGTATATATTATTTACTGTTATTATAGTTATAAATGAGTTATGAAAAAAAAAAAAAATGTGTTCGGATAATGTGAATAGGTACTATTTGCCTGGTTAAAACTGTTACGGGAGTACTTCTCTGTTAATGAGAATGATTTAAGAATTTTTAGTTTAAACGTATTTAAAATTTTACTTTTGATATCTCGTATTAATAAAAAACACAATATTCAAGTAATAATTATTTTAATTGAAAATGAGAAAGTGAGATTGTTATGCATATAGAAAACAAAACGAGATGTATTGTGGTTTTTAATATTTGAATAAGATAAACTTTATCGAAATAAATTAAAAACAGTTATAATATTCACATTACCGAGATACTTGAGTAAAGATGCGAAGCTGAGAAGATATTGGTTTTACTATGATGTGTTATTTTTTTGTGTCTGTTACCACTTTTCTCAGCTCTCACCGAACTGATTTCTTTCAACGATACGTCAAAAGATCACAAATTGTATCTAGTCGAAGACATTATTATCAAAAATTGAAAAATTTTCCCTCGTTTCTCATAAATTAGGGAAATCTCCAAAAAAATTACAAATTTAAAGAACGCTAATTTTCGACATTTTAAACATTTTTTAGCTTCGATGCGAAGCTGAGAAGGTATTGGTTTTACTATGATGTTTTTTTTTTTTGTGTCTGTTACCACTTTTTCTCAGCTCTCACCGAACGGATTTCTTTCAACAATACGTCAAAAGATCACAAATGGTATCTAGTCGAAGACATTACCCTTCAAAATTGAAAAAATTTCCCTCGTTCCCCGTAAATGGGGGAAACCTCCAAAAAAATTACAAATTTAAAAATCGCTAATTTTCGAAATTTTTTCAATTTTTTTTACTAAAAACTGCCGTAACTTTTTCAAAAATGAACATATCAATATAATTTTTTTTTATATAGATGCTTGATGTCTTTACTTATCATTTGGTATATTTTTTTTGTAAATCTGACACTTAACCTGCCCACAGGGGGGGATTTAAAATGACAACTTTTTCACAAAAAATTAACTTTTTCAACTTAACTTTTGAAAATGTTCCGGAAGGTCTGACACTTTTATATATATCTTAAATTAAAGCTAATGTAATATACTTTAATTTGAAAAAAAAAAATTTGACCTCTGGACTTGTCTTCACGGCGAAAATGGCTACCGAATGCTATTTTCGTGTGAAAATTCTCGATTTTATTATTTATATTATATTTAACTTTATAATGCTATAACTTATTGAAAAGTTTATGGATCCACACAATTTTTTTATGAGAAATAATATTTTTTAATAAACCCTTTTTCATTCGACATACTTTATCTTAATCGAGATATTAATAAGGAACCAGCAGATCAAGTAGCTTTTGGAATAAAACACCAATTTTTTTAAAATTAAACACTATCTAAAGATTTGCATCGAAGCGTTTATTTTTGATAGTGATTTTAATCACTGTCAGATATCATTATACTTGATCCAACTATGCCACGTCACCACTGTGCCGCGACCCCCCTGTGCTGGGTTTTTTTTACTTAAAACTACCATAAAATTTTTAAAAATGATCAAATCAATATAATTTTTTTTTTATAGCTGCATGTTGTCTTTACCTATCATTTGGTATATTTTTTTTATAAATCTGTCTCTTTATCTACCCACAGGGGGGATTTAAAATGACAACTTTTTTAACTTAACTTTTGAAAGTGTTCCAGAAAGTCTGACACTTTTATATATATCTTAAATTAAAGCTAATGTAATATACTTTATTTTGAAAAAAAAAAATTTGACCTCTGGACTTGTCTTCATGGTGAAAACGGCTACCGAATGCTATTTTTGTGTGAAAATTTTCGATTTTATAATTTACATTTTTTACTTTAAAGTGCTATAACTTTTTAAAAAATGTATGGATCAATACAATTTTTTCATGAGAAGTAGTATTTATATACATCTTTCATTGGATATACTTTTTTTTTAAATCAGACTATTTCCCTATATATGGGGGGGCTTCAAATATAAAAAATGCATATAGAAAGTAGAACTTTTTCAACTTAACTTTTGAAAGTGTTCCGGAAGGTCTGACACTTTTATATATATCTTAAATTAAAGCTAATGTAATATACTTTATTTTGTCTTCACGGTGAAAATGACTACCGAATGCTATTTTTGTGTGAAAATTCTCAATTTTATATTTTACATTTTTAACTTTATAATGCTTCTACTTATTGAAAAGTGTATGGATCAACACAATTTTTTTATGAGAAATAATATTTATATCTCTCTTTCATTCAACATACTTTATCTTAATCAAGATATAAATAAGGAAATAGCAGATCATGTATCTTTTGGAACAATCAATCATTTTTTTAAAAATTAAACACTATCTAAAGATTTGCATCGAAGCGTTTTTTATGTTAGTGATTTTAATCACTGTCAGATATCATTATACTTGACCCAACTATACAATGTCACCACTGTTCCGCGACCCCCTGTTCTGGGTTTTTTCAATTTTTTTTTTTTTAATTGTTTTAACTTATTACATTTGAGTATAAAATTAATTTCAAGAGGAGAATTTAAAATTTGAGTTAATTTTATAATATTTATATTTAAAAAATATATTTATTGATAATATACTTAATGTAAATTATATCGTACTCATTTTTGATCCTAAATTTAACATAACCGTTTTACTCGATTTCCCCTAAATATTTTTCATTGTAGAGCACGGTGTGGATATAATGTTGTTAATGTACCTGTATAAAATACGCTTAACAAATTTAAATGTACTGAGAGCAATTATTTGATTTGATTATTGGTATGTCTGCGTCGACAAAAAATACGGCTATAAAATGACTTCTTCTACTCATTAGATTATCATTATTAAATTCAGCCGAGAAATCATGATGATGGGCGGTATTAAGACGGTTTCGTATATTTTTATCATTTCAAGCGGGTAAAAAACAATAAAAGTCAAATCCCAGTCTCATTTTGGTCGGATGACGCAGCGCACAGATTAAAGAATGGAATAAAATTATAATATAAATTTGTCTGGATAAGCATAAGAGATATAAAAAAATAATAGAAAGAGTCTGTACTCAGTTATATAATAAGTAATTTTAAAAGTATATAGACGTTTAAACTAAAAACGGCATTGCAGATACCAACTTTTAAAGAAAAATTGAATAAACTTATAAAATAAGTATTTTTTCAAGTTTATGATTTCATAAAATTTGATACTAAATCTGTATTGCATTCATCAGGGATGGTGTGGGGGGGCAGTAGGAGCAGTTGCCCCAGGCCCTGTGGCTTAGAATTATATCTGCATAAGTTGTAATGTATTTTTCCCAGGGCCTCGCAGAAGTTTGCGCCATCATTGGCACCCATTAAAAGATTGCACCAAAGATATGAGCGGTCAACGATTTGGTGAATAGAATGAATGGATTTTAACAATTATGTAAATGTGTGTTTTTGTTACACGGAAAATTTTTAATCGACAAAATTATTTATCATAAAACACTTTTAAACCAAATTTTTTATCTCTATTTAGAAGTAACCTAGTAATGTAATGACTACAAAAATTTATGTGGTTTCTTTTCTGCTGCGTCTTTACATGATAAATAAAAAATATTGAACATTTCCATACAAATTATTAAATAATGCAGTTGAACTCCAGAAATAAATTTTTATTCTATTTACTAAACATAACTAAAAAATGTATGCTTTATTTGCCATCAAATATTTTAATGTCGTTAGGAAATAAATTTATTAATATAGATTTATTGTACACTTTTATCATAGAATAAACTATATTTTACTTTAAAAAATAATTGTTAATATGTTGTTGTATGAAATAAAATATTGTTATTATTAATACTATTAATTATTTTTTTTTTAAATATAATATTAAAAAATATTAAAAAACATTAAAATTTACATATTACTTAACGATTTAACCAGATAAATTAAAATATGGTTTCGTAAACTTTCAAATTGAATGTTTAAATTGATGTAAAAGTTTTATTATGAAATAATAATTTATTTAAAAATAGAAAATTAAATATATTATTATTGCGTAAATGAGTACAAAACACGATGTAGAGTTTTGTATTCTTTAGTTTGAGTCTAAGTTATTTAAAGAATTCTAGTTATAATGTTAATAATAACATAATAGAATTTTATATTGCACTCTTCATATTTTTATAAAACAGATGCTAATAAAATCATTCAAACCATTAAATTTATCTACGATAAAATTTTAAAAGACTAGAAAAATTTAACTGAGCATTATCTTATTGCCACAATTAATACTTTGATTAATTATTTAATTATCGATACTAATAATGATAGCTCATACTGACAAACGATATAGTCACAAAGAAAATTAAAATAATTTTGTCTTCATGATAAAAGAATAATTTTATGCAGTGTTTCAACAAGTGGTAGGAGGATGTACCCCAGCCTTAAAATTATTTTTTAAGCTGGGTAGAAAATACAAGCACCCTCAAAAATTGTATTCTAGTGCATCTATGATTGTAAAAAAATGGGTTTTAAATTATATTTTAGGAAACCTTCACAGTTTTAGAGAGTTTGTAATTGATAATGAATTTAAAATATAACCAACGATTTTTTACGAGGGTTTCAAATAAACTTTCTACTTTTTAAAATTTAATTTGGTTTTTAAGCTTTAAATCTTTACTTATTTTTGAATAACGGGTTGTGTCTGAAGGGTGTTTTTATTGGATTTTCAAATATGTATATATATAATAAAAATAGAAAAGTTAATACAATTTTTTTTTTACTTAAGAGCATGTAAAAGAGTGGCTGGAAAAAAAAATGTGAACAATCTCTTGTAACAGTACGGCGTATGTGCAAAAGGGATGTGGGCGTATAAAATTGTAGTCGTAGTCCTGCGCGGTAAATATAAAATAGCAATCACGTTGTTAGCACGTTGGTCAGTAATATCCGAATCTACAGACCGAGACTGTATCGCGTTCCCTGTGTTTTTTAACTTTCGGAATTTCTTCCGAAACAAAATTTTCTAAATATATCACAGTAATCATTAAGAATTAAAATAATTAACACGGATATTTTGTTACATAATATTTTTTGAGAGCGTGAAGAATTGTAAATAAATATAAACATAAAAAAGATTGAATGTAATAATAAATGTATGCAATAAATATAAGAATTTAATAAAAAAATGTTTAACTTAGAAATTAAATGGACATCTTAAGATAAGAAAACTAGTAATAACAGGTATGTTGTATAGATACGCTCTGTAAAAGAATTCCATTAACGGGAATAATAAAGAAAAGTCTTTCTATCGTTAAAAAAATTTTGCTTTTAAAGAAAATAAAAAATATCATCATTAAAAAAATTCTAACATAAAAAGGTTATCACTAGCATTGAAACTAATCTCATACAATAAATTACCCAACGAATGAATACTAAATTATATTTTTCAAGAATTTCTAAGAATTCACTGAATTTAGTGAATTTTTATTATGGAATAAAAATAATAGTTTCGTTGCAATACTTGTAGTTATTGGGAAATAGTAATAAATAAGAAAATTGTGATATTAATTGAATATAATCTCCTAATTTTTCACGGAACTACGTTTTACGTGATTTGTTTCGTTTTTACCTAATGAGTATGTGAGAAATATTCTTATCGACAAACGTAATACTAATAGAATATTAAAAAAATTATAGTTTCAATATATTTTATTAATAAAGTAAGTCAACTCGACGATTTTGAGGTAATTTAGTTACACATATACAAGGTATATATGTACAATAATGCAATCATTTTACTAACCAGTCAGTAAAATAATATATTAAACCTAAAAAGTATAAAAATTAAAGTAATAAACTATAAATTAAAGAAACCATACACTAAATTAATTAAACTAAGAAATGCTGTCAGTATTCTTTATAAATTAAGTTACATTTCATTTGATGTATTTGCTGAAATTTAGAAATAATAAAAGTGTGTGCATTGGAAGTGTTATTGGCTACTACAAAGTAGTAGAAAAAGACGCTAAGGTAGGAATATTTAAAAATTATGGTTTTTAATTTGATGGATAAATTTTTAATTAATATAATAATTTTTAAATTATCCATATCTATTTCCAATATCTTTTTATGGACTATGTATTTTATTTGTTATTCGTTTTATAAAATTTGGTAGTAATTAAGATAAATTTAAGTTCACAAATATTTTTTTATTTTTACTTATATAAATTGGTAATATTAACATTATTTAATAATCAACGAAAATCCATTTTTATGTTTTTAGTTTATTTTATGATGTCAGCTAAACCGTTCAAAATGCTTGTAATTAATATTACATTAATATTGGCAGTTGGAAACTTAGGTAAGTAAAAAAAAATTTATTGAAATATATAAACAAAAATTATACATAAAACAGTTTTTTTAGATTTTAACATATTAAGGTGTCCTTATAAAATGAATTTGACTTATAATTGGTACCATTAAAAAAAATACTTAATTAATCTTATTATAAAATTGGATACAAAATATGTTAAATTATGTATAATGAAAAAGCAATTTAAATTTCACGTAACAATATGATGAGAAATTTGATTTCAATTTGAATTCACTACATTAGTGAATATTATTATAGTAAATTCAAGTTTAAATGGAATAGTAAATATCAAAAATTACATGTAAATTATTTATTATAAATAATGATTGTTTAAAAATATTGTATTTTTGAATATGGAATGTATATATATTTACATATATTGCATAAATTTTACTTATTGTTTGTTAAGTATCATGTTGTTTGCTCTCAGTAAAAAATTGGTTGTCTATGTATTTTTGAAATAATCTCTATATATTTAAATGCGTGCTAAATCCAATAATTTTTATTGTTAATTTTTATTCGAATTAATAAGGATGTCGTTAAGATTAATAACGTTGAATAACGTGTTAAATACATTTGAAGTAATTAAAATGCCAAACCAACATTGTTTTATGATTAAAATGTAGGTCTAATGTTTTGAGTATTTTTTTTATGATCTTTTTTCTTTTAAAGTGAAAAGTTATAATCATTAATGTTAATCAAACATTTAAGAATGTATTGTTTAGGTTGTAATTTGATAAATTATTCCTTTTGAATCCGATCGTGATGGGAAAATCCCTATGGATATCCTAACTTTATTGTATTAGAAATTACTATTTTAAACGTGCTAGTTTCTGTCCAGTCAGTCTTAACAACCTATCTCTTGAGATTTAACTTAACCCTTCTGAACATTATTTGTTGGAATTATATTTAAAGATAGATATATAACATAACAATACACGTATAGCTTAAAAAAAGCTTATTATTGGAGTTAAAATTAGTGTTGAAACGATCCCGACTTTCTAAAATTTATTTTGAAAGTTTCTAGTACATATATTTGAAATTCCCAACTTCATAAAATATTATTAAATATAAAATTTCAGTATTAAATATGAACATTTTTCTCATCTTGTAGTTTTGTTAAATATAAAACTACAAGTTCAATACTATCCAATAACACATAGCTTAAAATAAACATAGAAATTTGTCAAAATTAATGGTTATATCGAGTAACGTGTATCAGTTGCACTGAAATAACTTTTTCTTGCTTTGATCGAATATTATTGAAGTTCATATTTACTGAGATAATACGATGAAACAGTTTAAATTTGTTGATGGTACCCCACGGTTTTGATCTGAATTCCTGGAACTCAGGTCTTCAGTAAGGATGTTATTCATACGAATATAGTGAGCTATCATGTTACCACGTGGAAATAGTTTATAGAAGGTTATCAAATATTTTTAGCTGAGTGTTGTCATTTTGTATACTTCTGATTCCGTTTAATTCGTTATAGTTGATTTTATTCAAAGGAATTTTCGTTTGTGGCATTTAGTCCAACCCAAATAGATTTAAAAATATAAACAATATACTGTGTCTTAGCCTCTCAACCATTTGTCAACATTTATTATACTTCAAAATGTGTATTTACCTTAAAGTTAACATTTAACAATGCCATTAAAATCATATTCACAATACTCCATATGATCAACAAGAGCACAAAGGTATTATCATGAAACAATAAAATTATTATTGTATTCATCTTAATACATTCTTGGTTCAAGGGCGTTCACAACAAATTAAAAGGAAATCTCCCCACTGACTTTTGGTTAGAGCAATTTTCATAATCGTTGTATATTATAAAATTTTGTGAAATACAATTTATTTGTACCTTTTAAATAAAAATATATATATATTTGTATTAAATTATATTATTAATGGAAGAATTAACAACATTAACTTTAGAATAATGACACGTAGGTTTGGTTTTTATTTGTTAAATTTATAGAGATACTTTATCTTATAATTAATACATATAATTACCAAAAAAAAATTTCTATTCCCTGCAAGGCCTATTGGTACCTATTAGAATAACATTTTGAGGGTGCCAACTGTATATTCTCCCTACACTGAAAAACACTATACATATAATTTATTATATGACAACATACATATTAGCTTCGATGCGAAGCTGAGAAGGTATTGGTTTTACTATGCTGTGTTTTTTTTTTTGTATCTGTTACCACTTTTTCTCAGCTCTCACCGAACGGATTTCTTTCAACGATACGTCAAAAGATCACAAATTGTGTCTAGTCGAAGACAGTACCCTCAAAAATTGAAAAAATCTCCCTCGTTCCCCGTAAATGAGGGAAACCTCCAAAAAAATTACAAATTTAAAAATCGCTAATTTTTTCAATATTTTTTACTAAAAACTGCCAAAACTTTTTCAAAAATGAACATATCAATTGAATTTTTTTTTTTATAGATGCTTGATGTCTTTACTTATCATTTGATATATTTTTTTTATAAATATGACCCTTTATCTGCCCACAGGGGGGGATTTAAAATGACAACTTTTTCACAAAAAATTTACTTTTACACTTAATTTTTGAAAATGTTCCGGAAGGTCTGATACTTTTATATATATCTTAAATTAAAGTTAATTTAATTTACTTTATTATGGGAAAAAAAAATTTGACCTTTGGACTTCGTAGTAAAAATGGCTACCGAATGCTATTTTTGTGTGAAAATTCTCGATTTTATATTTTATATTTTTTTAACTTTATAATGCTATAACTTATTGAAAAGTGTATGGATCAACACAATTTTTTTATGAGAAATAATATTTTTTAATAATCCCTTTTTCATTCGACATACTTTATCTTAATCAGGATATAAATAAGGAAATAGCAGATCATGTAGCTTTTGGAATAATACACCAATTTTTTAAAATGTAACACTATCTAAAGATTTGCATCGAAGTGCTTTTTTTTGATAGTGATTTTAATCACTGTCAGATATCATTATTTTTTTTTTTAATTTTCGGGAAGTTAATAAGTTAACTAAGGAGGCTAGGCTCCTTGTATTTCTGTTTAACTTCTACGTGGATTGGCATGGATTGTTCAGTTATTACAAACTAGTTGTATAAGTTTTTGTAATTTTAAAATATTTAATGTTATAAGTGTTATGAAACACGCAAATTAGTAAGTTTTTAATTGATTTCGATATTGTAAACAATACAATTGTAAACAATAGTATTTACGATAATTTGGTAAACTGTAATATTACAAAGTTTTATTTTATAGTAGTACAAATTAGTTTTAAGAATTTATAAATTATTTCGGACTTAGTATTTTATAGTCTTTTACAAAATGGCTTGAACCACTTCCTTGTCTTGTAATGATAAAAAAAAAACTTTTTCTATTTAATTGCTTCAGTTTTACATTGTAAAACAAATGTTATATTAGCTAAGAAAAGTTTGAAAATAATTTTGTTAATTTTAAAAGTAATTATAAAAATACACTTCAACAGTTGGAGCAATAAAAATTGATCCCATTTTATTTTCTAAGCCCACTGACTTGCGGCATTCTTTGGCTCTTTTAATTAGACGCGCATTGTTGTTGCCATAGTTTAGGTGAATACTTGACGATTAAGTAGGATTTAAGAGTTTATACCAATTCTCTAAGCATTTTTACACCACTTCCCACGCTCTGGGCCGCATTAATATCTATCGAAGTTTCCCATTCTGGTTAACTCATCTGTAAAAGTCGCAGGGAATCGAAAAACTTTTATACGGCAAAGGCCATCAGACAAGTTCGATATCAGGAAAGCGTCAGTTTGATGGATGCACTCTAATCACGGTAAACACTTTTAACCAGCAATTTTCTTTTTCGAGTCCACTTCATTAAACTCGTTAAGTACTCTATATCTTAGCCATAGTATCACAATGAACAGTGAAGTTGTTAGTATTTAATATTTGAACACAGACGCACTAATATTACACCATTTCCAAAGGTAAAATGACTTTAATAATAATTAATAATTTAATAATATTAGCATTAGAATATAGCTTTTTTTATAAACCTTCATTGACTTTTATCTGAATACTCAATTTTTTAAGTTGTATAAAATTAATTTAAATAAGGTTTTTTTATAAAATTCTATTATATAATAAGATATGACTTTTTAGTAAAATAAGGGAAACAAAAATTTATTTTAAGTATATTTAGAATAAATTTTAATTAATTTTCTTACATAACTTATGTACTGAATTATTCACAAAAACCATTAAATTGTACAATATTATGATAAATTGATTTAAAAACTTTGGTAGTACAAGATATAATTCAAGTTTTTTATGACTTGCGTTAAAAATTAGTTACTTTTTAAGCATAGTACCTGTCAATAAACTTTTAATCCTTAAGAAATAACATTTTGTTAAACACTATTTGAACATATTGGCAAAGAATAACAATTTAGTGTAACAATAATTCAATCAACAAAATATAAAAAAAAGAATAGCAATATTTTGATGTATGTATTTAAAGTAGAGACATAATGAATTTAATCGATTTGGTTAAGTTCAAAGGAAATAACAGAATGAGTTAATTAATTATATACCACTATATAATTTATTACAAGTTTGATATTGTAATTGGTGGAGTAACATTTTTGTGACCCTTAATGAATGTGACTTTACAACAGTTCAGATATGTTTACGTTGTTTAAAAAGAAACTTATAAAACATTCACGCTAATTTGAGCTTTAAAAATATATATATATATATTTAGGTATGATTATTTGAAAAAGAAACAAATCGTGCTCTTTAAATAAAATGTTAAACAATAAGAACGAGAGTATCCAATTTTAATGATATCACCCAGTAATTTTCGATAGTTTCACTCAAACCTTTTCACTATACTGTATTATTATGTATGGCCATTGAGCAAGTATAAATATTTAAAAACTAAAACAGACTGAGTGGACTGTTTGCTAAAAACACCACACTACC